GCCCTTGTAAAAATGATATGGGACATGAGGGAAGCCATCTTGAATGGAAGATGGGAAGTCTTAGCAAATAAACGGAAGATATGAATGGGGACCAAATGGAAATTTTAGACCTGAAAAATTTAGCAAAGTTTACTAACAAAGTTTACCTCACTGGATGGATTACTAGTAGAAACAATTTGATTAAAGAGCTTGTTAACTTATAATCAAAGGAAAGTAACCACCTGAACAACAGGAAAAGATTATTTTCTTTTATATTTTACGTGGGTGAGTGTTTTGGCTGCATGTATGGATGGGGACAGTAGACAGTTGTGAACTGTCACGTGGGTACTGGATACTGAACCCAAATCCTCTGCAAGAGCAGCAAGTGCTCTTAATCACCTAGCCATCTCTTTAGCCCCAAAGAAAAGATTTAAAAATAAAGTTTTAGGAACCTGTGGATAATATGGCCGTGGGAATCTTGCCAGAGAAGAAAGGCTGCAGTAAGAAAGTACACTGAATAAAATGGTGGCTGGAAGACCTAGAGAGCTTGGCAAATTCTAAACAGTGTGAACCTGAAGAAGTCAGTGCTTAGATATATAAACTGTTGAAAATTAAATACTAAGAAAAACATCTGTAAGCAACTAAAGAAAATACATTGCTTGTGGAAAAATAAGAATGTGAATGAGTATTTCATATCAGAAGTTATAGAGACCAGAAAATTAAATCAGTATTTTTAGTATGGAGAAATAATTGTCAATCAGTAAGTCAAACAAAAGGCTGTGTAGAAAGTGTTACAGATAGAATGAATCAATGAGAGAGCAGATGATGGGGGAAGTCCTGTGTATATGTAAATAAAGCACTGTTGGCCAATAGAAAAACAAGATAGGTGGGACTAGGAGTCTAGGAGGATTCTGGGAAATGTAGTAGGAGAGTCGTTGCCATGTGATCATGGGGAGAGGACACATGAGGCTGCATCCTTGAAAAGATAAGTCCTTATAAAAATTTATATTCATAATTATGGGTCAATTAAGTCAGAGCTAGCCAGTGAGAAACAATAACAAATGGCCAACAGCTTTATAATTAATATAGTGTCCTGTGTGTTATTTGGGGGCTAAAAACGACATCAGGACCCAGGCAGCTGGCGGGAAGAATGCATGTTACAAACAGAGCATCAGGGTTTGAGTAGAGGGTAAAACAGTGGTTCTCAACCTTCCTAATGCTGCAACCCCCAACCATAAAATTATTTTTCTTGTTACTTCATAACTGTAATTTTGCTACTGTTGTGAATTGCAATGTAAATATGTTTTCAAATAGTCTTGGGCAACCCCAATAGAAGAATCATTCAACATTCCCCCACTCTGCTCAAAGGGGTCACGACCCACAGATTGAGAACCACTGGGGTAGAGGAATTAAAACATTCAGACAATGGCAAAAATAAACTAATAAGAAAACATGAACAGAGAGCATTTGATACCTATGAAAAAAACCAGATCTTTGAATCATGAGTGTAGAAGAAGGAGAAGAATTTCTGATTAAAGAATAGAAGACATTTTTCAATAGGAGAAAATTTCCCAGATCTAGAGTGGAAAAAAAGCAACCCATGTATTTTTTTTTCATACCAGGCACTTAGAACATAAGATCAGGAAAGAACCTCCCCGTGCCGTGTTATAGTTGGAACACTATATACAACCAAGTATATTGGGAGTAGCAAGAGAGAAACAGAGTCACATAGGAAGGGAAGCCTATTAGAATAACAACATATTTCTCAACAGAAACTTTAAAAGCCAGGAGGGCTTGGAATAATGCATTTTAGGCTCTGAAAAACAAAACCTGCCAAATCAGGCTACCATACCCAGCAAAACTATCACAATTTAAGGAGGAAGAAAAACTTCCCACAATTTAAAAAAAAAACTGAAGGAACTCATGATCACCGACTCAGCTCTACAGATCCTATTTGGAGGAATCCTTCATACCGAAAAGAAAAATAACTGCATTCATGATGCTGTCAGTTGTCTGGTGGGCAACAAGAATATGAGATGTTTTCAAAGTATTACACACTAATAATCTTTTTATCTACTGTTCTGAAATTGAAAGAACTCTGAAAACAAAATGTATCTTTTACATTTTTATTGCATTTATTCGGGGAGGGGATGTGCGTGTGCACGAGGACAGCTTGCAGAGTTCTTTCCTTCTACCACGTAGGACAGGGGATCAAACTTGGACCATCAGACTCGGCAAAGCTTGGCACCTAACCTGAAGAGGCATGAAAACTTTTGTGCCTTCACTTATTCTACTTAATGATCCTACTTAATGGTCAATATTTATTTTTGCAGAAATGTTAGGATACTAGCTACAGGATCCTCTTGGATGTGTTAAACACAATATATTGGTGTATGTATTGAGCCTTTCCTAAATAGAATGAAAATGATCTGAATTTCAACACATCTAGCCCAAGATAAACCTAGGTGTATGTTTTGACTCATCAATTTTGAAAATAAGGGATGCATTACCTATTCAAAATTAGGTTTTAAAAAATGAATCTTTTAAAAACTAAAGAACTAAGTTAGCACACATCTGACACAGAGTAGGTTTTTGGTAAGTGGTGGTCACTGCTGATCCACACTTTGAAGCCTTGCTTGTCTGTTCTTCTCCTGCAGTACGGTTACCATTATTGTGCCTTCTTGGGGATACAGAGACTTTGTAACAGGTCCCTGCCAGCCTGGTATAAAATCTCTTACTCCAAGCCCAGAATACACAACCCTGACAGTCCTGAGGTCTCCCCAGCTTGCCAGCCCACCTCAGCTGTTTAGAGGGGCGTCATTTGCATTTCTGTGCCCAGTATTTCAGGACTGTGTACAAAGTGTTTCTTGTTTTCTTTTTTTTTAATCTCTAGAATATATTAGGATTGACTGTCAGTCATAGGAGCAGTGGACAGCATGATGGCCTCTGTGCTGTATATTTTCAGTGGGTTCCCAAGTCATGCAGAATGAGTTCTTGGAATGTATGTGTTTGCCTTGTAGCAAGGCTGTGGATTACCTACAAGGATAGCCATGAAAGTTTGAGTATGTAAGTTACCGGGGTGGGCCTTGCAGCTTCCCTTCCCTCCTTCATTCTGTTTCTTTTCTCCTCCTCAGACTGGTCCAGAAAGGAAAATGGAAATGCTGGGGGGTTTTTAGGAACCTTTATTTATGCTCTTTACTCATTCTCATTTTTACTCCAGAGCTTTCTCAGAGAAGGAAAAACTTGGTCCTTTGGAGAAAATGTAGAGATTGCAGAGGTTTATGGCCAGTGGCCATCCAACATGCTTCCGTGCAAAGATTCACAGTAGAAGTAGGACTAAAGGTATGCAAGGGCTATGATGAGCAGGTCAGGAAGTGCTATACCACACTCAGCCTCTCATCTCAGCCTATCTGAGAAGCTTTTACATTTTAGCTGCCAGGTTTTGGTTTTGAAGTATTATTTCATGTATCAAAGTTCCTGAATCTTATGTAAAAGTATTAGAACTTTAACAAAGTATGAATACAATAGAATGTGTCTGGGGTTATTTAATATTTTGCCTTTCTCAGACTCAGCCCTTCATTATTTTAACATTTTAAAGATTAATTTATTTTTATGTGTATGTGCCTGTGTAAATTTATGCGTAGTTCATGCATACAGGTGGCCATAGAGCCAGAAGAGGGTGTTAGATCCCCTGGAACTGGAGTTACAGGTGGTTGTGCACTTGGTGATGGTGCTGGGAACCAAACGTAGGTCTTCTCCTAACTTCTGAGCCATCTCTGCTGCCTCAGTTTTAACTTTTCCTTATTTTATGTGTTATGGATGTTTGGGCTGCATGTTTGTGTGTCATATGTACACCTTGTGCTCACTGAAACTGGAGTTACAGATGGTTGTGAGCTATCATGTAGTGCTGGGAATTAACTCGGGTCCTCTGAAAAAGCAGCCAGTGCTCTTAACTACTGAGCCATCTCTCCAGCCCTCCCACCCACCCAGTTTTAACTTTCATACAGCTCTTTTTTGCTACAAACCTTTATCATGTATTACAGAAGTAGCAATTAATATTCTAGGTGCCAACTCCAGAATATTTGTTACTATGAATTTGACTGTATATACTGGGTCTTTATATTCTCAACCAGGGCATCAGCAGTAAGAACTGCTCCCTTTGGATCTCACAGAGCCTTAGTTTTTCCCTTTGATATAGCACTGAGAAGTCCCCTTTAACCAGTTAACAGCACGTTCCACAAGTCACATCCAAGAGGGAAGACATGAGGCACCTGCTTTTCTCAAAAACGACCCGTCTGTCTTCCTGACTGAGAATTACGCAGGCCCTGCTGCCAGAGAGTTGTTAATGTGCCATGGACATAAAAAGCTAGAAGTCTTGTGGGATCTGAGAGAACTTTAGAAGAAGGGACTTTAGGAGATTTTTTGGAAGGGACCTTGAGGGAATTTTTAGGAAGAACTTCTTGGACTTTTAGAGAATCTTTAGAAAGAACTCTAGGAGAATTTTTAAGAACTTTTGAAAGAGATCTTTAGGAGAACTTACAGAAGGAAAATCAGAACTTTAAGGAGAAATCTTAGAGCTTTTAGAGAAAGAACGTTTGAGGAGAGAGCTTTTAGGGAGAAATCTTCTAGAGAGCTTTTGAGGGAGAACCTTTTGGGAAGAACACTTCTTGAAGAGTAGAGAGCCTTGAGGGGAGCATCATATGTGAGCCGGTTTATCTCCCTCTCACCCTCAGACTCCTTTAGAGAAACCCTGCCTGCCTGCTGTCTAATCCCTAACCTGACCCCGAGAGAGCATTGAGGTTGAATGCTCTCATTACTTTTTCACATAATTTCCTGTTTCCTATGATCTGTGTTAATCTCTGCTAAAGACCACTTTGAAGTATTCCTTATGTTGTGATCTTATGAAAGTTTCTGCCTTGTCTGATGTTCATCATGCCCCCACTGGCATCAGCTTTGTGCCTCTGAGAGACTAGGTGTTTGGCTGCTCTGGGAATTGTGGTAATTGTCCTTGTTTGTTTCAGGCGTGATCCCCTGAGCCCATTTGCTGTCGGGGGAGAAGACCTAGACCCCTTTGGGTGAGTATTTCTGGGGAGGTGGCAGCAATGTAATTTGCTCAGTGACTTGCAGCTCACCTAATTTTAGAGTTTTCGTCAGCTTCCCTTTGGAGTGGAGGTAGCTGTTGAGTAGCTGAGAAATCATTACTTCTTTCTGGGCTCTGCCATACCTAGAGCAGTGCAGAGAGAGAACTGGGGGGACCATTCTCCTCCCTTCTGCATAGGAGGATCACGGCTCTTCCCTGGATAAGAGTCGTGAAGGTTTACCTATGAAGAATGAAGACCACACAGTGGGCAGTAGATTGCAGAGCAACAGCTCAGGGCTATTTGGTGGTTACCTCACTCCACAGAGGGAGTCTCTAAGCCCACGCATCCTCTGCTTCTCATTCTGCATCCAGCAAATTCATTCCGCAGCCTCGGCTATGCACTCTGTTCTCTGATTGAGTCAGATGAGGGTTAACTCCTGCTGAAGAGTGACCCCACTTTCACCATCTCATTCTTAGACAGTAGGACTCACTCATCTCTGCAGAGCTGCTCACACAGTGACCTCAGCATGTGAGGAACATTAGCCTATTCATCCCAGCTGGAGTGCATGAAGTCAGGTCCATGGAACTCAGTGAGGGACAGAGAATGTCAGGAGTCAGGTGGGCAACCCACAGGCTGTCAGCAACTATACTGAGACCCTTAATGAAATTGCAAAACCATATCATGAGTGGTCATGATGTTACCACTCTTAGATTTAGAGTCTGACAGTTCTGTATTGATCCTGGCCGATTCTAGCTCTAGTTCTTGACCAGTTGACCCCATTGGATGCAAGAAATCTCAATCCTGTGGGCTCAGGAAATCCTGCAGAACTCCCTGTACTGCTACAGGCCCTTTTGGCATCAGAAGTACACACTTTGTATTCACTTTGTGTTCTTGCTCAATTCTTGCTTCATCTGGCGTTTGCCTAGACCATCTAGAGTAGCCATCTGCTTACCCAGCTTCCTTCCTGTCTCAGGTGTCAAAGAGGTGGCATGATTGTGGATCCCCTGAGATCTGGCTTCCCAAGAGCACTTATTGACCCATCCTCGGGCCTCCCGAACCGGCTTCCCCCTGGTGCTGTGCCCCCAGGAGCTCGCTTTGACCCCTTTGGACCCATTGGGACCAGCCCATCTGGGTAGGTATTCATTCAAGTAATCTGAAAGGTGGGATTTGATGGCAGTGCAGTCTAGCTTAGTTCAGCATTGCAACCCAGGTATCTGACTCCAGGCTCAGTAACCACTGCTGCCTCCCTGGAGCCTTCCAGGAATTCTCTCCCCACCCCATTTCCTTAGTGTCTTAGAGTTATCATTGCTGTGATGAATCACTATGAACAAAAGCAACTTGGGGATGTAAAAGGGTTTATTCAGCTTATACTTCCACATCAGTGTTCAAGGAAGTGAGTCAGGACAGGAACTCAGAGCAGGAACCTGGAGGTAGGAACTGATGCAGAGGCCATGGAGGAGAGCCGCCTACTGACTTGCTCAGCCTACTTCCTTATAGAACCCAGGACCACCAGCCCAGGGATGGTACCACCCACTATGGGCTAGGCTCTCTCCTGTCAGTCACTAATAAGAAAATGCTAGACAGGCTTGCTAACATTCCAATCTTGTGGAGGCATTTTCTCTCAATCAAGGCTCCCTTCTCTCAGATGATTATAGCTTTTATGAAGTTGACATAAAACTAGCCAACACACTTGGACTCAGGAAGAGACACTTGTTCCCATAGTCCTATTACAGGTGAGAAGGGCAAGGCCTGGGTATTTGAGCCAAAGAAAGATTAGACCCAGGCCATTGGGCCCTAGAGTTAATCATCTTAACTTCACATCACTCTGTGGGCCTCCTCTACACAGGGCGTGTTTCCTGTGCACTCAGCCCTACCCCTCCCACTCACTAGACCCTTTTTCCATTGCAGACCTAATCCAGACCATCTCCCCCCACCGGGCTACGATGACATGTACCTGTGAAGGCCTCAAGAATGTAACACCTCAGCCTCCCCTGCACTCTCCCGGAGCTGCCATCACTGGCCCCATCAGTGCTCGTGTTCTCGTGGGCTCAGGGCAGAGGATTCTGCCCATGTGTTTGCAGGCCCGCTGGGGTTGCATCCCCAGTCCTTGTCAGAACCGAGGTGCCTGCCGCAGCACTCCACCCAGCTGCATATAGGTCCCAAGGAGAAATCAGTGTGTGTCTATCATCACCAGCTCCTCCCCACTTCCAAGGGAGACTCCGGCAACATAAACCCTCCACCCGCTGCAGTCCCGGTCACAGCGCTATAAGAACAGAACGCATTTTGGATGTTATTATTAAGAACCAAATGTCAATACAGAATTCATGTTGCCGGTCTTCCACTTTCCTTTTTATGTTAATGCACAAACTCTGAAGAGTTTGAGCCTTCATAGGACTAAATGACTAAAAGAAGGGCCCATTCTTCTCAAGCACCCCTCCCCCCTTTCATAAGTTACTCTTACTCCTGACATCACTAAGATGAGCTCCACTCAGGCTTTGTGTGTAGAATGTGACTGGTACCCTATGAACTACAAGGATGATTTCACCAAAGCCTAGAAAAACTGCCGTGTCCTTCCAAGGCATCCTCTTCCAGTTGCTCCTGTTTGTGTAGCCTGGTGGCTGTCTCCCTGGGCTGCTGTGGACAGTAAGTAGAGGGATAGACAGAACAGAACTGTAGGCTAATCTCATTTCCTCTTCAAGGTGACCCTAAAGAAGTCCTCTCTCTCAAAGCCTAGGGGCCACCTGTGAAATCAGAGGCTCCTTCATTGAGGCTTTGTAATGTGCCTTTCTATGAGTAGGAATAGTCCTAAGAACTGGAGAAGTGGAAAGAAGGAAAGATGTCTATAACTGTGCTGCTTATCCTCTTGGGACTGACAAGAGCGTAGGAACATGGGTCCAGCCAAGTGTGCTGTTAAACTTCAGGAGGGAGGGGAAGCCCCAGTTTCTGGAAGCCTCTGGATCCCTTGAGGCCCCAGCTGACAGGCATTGGCAGTGCTCAGCCCTGTGCTGTAGTGATGGAAAGAACGCAATAGAAGGCCAGGGCAAGAGACACCAAATCAAGACACTAAGTACTTCATTCCACCGTTAGCATTCAGCCATGTGGCTCCTTTCATGTCTCCTTCCCCCAGATTAGGGCTTACCATTTTTACCTGTAAGCAGCAACAAGCTACTGTAAGTTTTCTGGGGTACATTCTCGGAGGGTGACCTGTGTGCCCAGCCCAGGAATGGCAGAACTGGGGCCAGTCTCAGGTGAGGCTGGGCCTCAGGGCCAAGCTAGCATGAGCAGGCTCCCTGGCTGTTGAAGGGGGTCACATGGGTCATGTGCTCACCATCTTGAGGCTCTAGAGCATCCTGTGATCTATGGGGGCAAAGCGATCGCTCATTGTGCATCACCGGCATCCCTGAGGGCTGCCAGGTGGAAAGTTAGGTTTAGTTTTGGAATTGGATCATACCTGTGAAAGAGCTTAGGGCACTTTGCTCATTTAAAGCATCCCTTTTTATGCAGGGAAGCATTTAAAGGAACAGATGGCTGGAATTCTTAAGATAGGTTGGAGAAAGTAGATAACCAGGGCCCTGATTTGAAGGAAGGTAAAATGGAAACATTCTCCAGTTGGGCCTTTTAATAGCAAAGGTAAAAAAGATAGTCATGTACGTTAGTTCTATTTTCTGCAAACAAAAGTACAGTGGTCCTGTAGAAAGGGCCATTTTTGTTGTTACTGTTATTTTCCTGTGAGTCACCTTACATAATATTCTTGAGAAACTCAGTATCATAGATGTGGGTAGCCTTGAATGGGGCCACCAGGAACTTGTGGTCAAGCTGTTGGTGCTTGCTTGGGTCTCTGTCACCTCTCCCTCCAGCTATGATTAGCCATAAGCAAGAGGGAATGTTTCGGGCTTATGTCCTATAGAATTCCCAAATCAGAGCCTTCACAATAAACAAACAGCACTTACAATCTGTTTTTTTATTAACAACTTTATTAAGAGAATTTACATACCCAGGGAGTTCACCCTCTTAAAATACACAACTCAGTGGGTTGTAGGTATTCACAGTGCTGTGTGTACATCCGCCCCCAGATATAATTCCTCCCCCACAAAAACTATTCGCATTGGCAATCACTCATTTCTCCTTCCCTAGCCCAGGCAGCCCCCTGTCAGTTGTCTACAGATTTGTCTATTCTGGACAGTTCTCCTAAGTAAAACCACTCAATATGTGGCCTTTGTGTCCAGCGTCTTCAACACCTTGTTTCCACTGTTCGTGTGATTGTAGCAGCAACACCTTATCCTGTGGCTGTATAATCATGGTATGGCCGCATCATTTTTTACTCTTACCAGGTGATGGACACTTGGATTGTTTCTCCCTTTTGCTTGTTATGTTGAATGCTGTTAACGTTCATGTACAAGTTTTTTGTGTGGGCAGATGTTTTCAAGTCATTGAATTTATCTGGGATGGATTTGTAGGGTCCCATGATAACGCTTTAGCTTTTTGAGGAACTGCCAATGTTTTCCAAAGCAGCCACACTCTTCATTCTACCAGTAGTGCTCCATTTTCTCCACATCCTCACCAAACACTTGCTTGAGGCAAAACTAGTGGTGTCAGGTCATGTCTTCATTGCATTCTTGTCCTGTACTTCGTATTTTTTAATGGAAATTTTTGAGCAAGACCATGCAGGGCAGAGACCAGAGCAGCTTGTTTTTGAGGAAGAGGACTTGTGGCTTTGATAATAGCTACCATGGGGTAGCTATGACCAGTCATGGAGCTAGGTTTAACTTTGGGGATGTTCTGGGCTAGATGTGATACATGATGGTCTTTTCTCTGGGGTAATTCCTGAAACCTTTGACATCTAATAAGATTCAGAGCATCATTTTCACTTGGCTTTGAAATTTCAGAGCCCATCCAGTGGCTTACAAATAGAATCAAGGTCTACTTCTAAATCATTGTCTTTTGGTGCTAAGTAGACCACTCATACTATTTCTAGGATGCACCGGCCCACATCCCACCTTCTCTTCTTGGCTTGCTGTCTTTTCTATTCTTAGAGCTGGGTGAGTTTTGCATTGCATTTATCTTCTTAGTCATGAGCTTCAACCAACCTCCGTCCAATCTAAGTCATGAGTCTCCTAAGACCTTGACCCCAGGAATGTTTCAAGTATTAAATGGGGCTACATTCCTGTGCTAACGTTAGTACCTGTTGACACATAGCTGGAGAACAGGTAACAAGTCTGTATAGCCTCCTTCTGGAACCCAACTTCCTCATGACTTGTCACTGATGACATTTTGTCCTTGATCCCTGGCTGTCTCCACAGGAAGAAAACAATCCACAGATCACTTCATATTCTCCTATCACCTGATTTTGTGCCCTTTGGTGCAGTTCCAGTAAAAACGGTTCCCACCACCAGTGACAGTCCCCAGGCATATTCCCAGCTTTACATGTCAGTAATACTTGTTTGCTTGCTGACCACTGTTCATCTCCGTAACAGATGCTCACAGCAGGCATCCTAGCCTCCGGGCCTAGGCAATGTTTGCCCTTGAGATGCTACACTCAATCACTTCACCCGGGCTAGATCCAGAATCTATCTGCTCCTGAGAACAGATCAAAAGGCAGACATGGCTGAGAGTAAGGGTATGGGCAGTGAGGACCAGCAAGGCCCTGGTCACTGGACAGATCCTAAAATGAATTGGGAAGTCTGAGCACCTTACTAAGGTGGCACTTGTGGAAATGGAAGGCCTATCCCCTACTCACAGTAAAGTTCTCTGGGTAACCACTAAACAGTGTCAGTGGTTATGAGCTACATAAAGCAAGGGCTGAGAAAGTCACAGTGTAATGGTTCATAGAGACAACTGAATAGGAGGGGGCAGTCTGGAAGTCCAGTGCAGTAAATATTCATTTAACGTAGGGGCTAGTTCACCATGGTCTGAGAAGTAGGCACTGAAAGACAGCAGCTGCCCAGATCTGCATCAGAAAGTGAATGCCTTTCACTCCTGTCACCTTGTGTCCACACAGCTCAATTCCAAGTTCAAGGCCCAACGGGCTGATTACACCTGCTTGTGAGACCTGTAATACCTCTCAGTCTGTAGCAGCAAGAAGTCCCAGAAATGTCCTTATGCTCTTTCCTATCTCTTCCATTGGGAAGGTGTACTGGAACAGGTCTGCTGAGCCTCCTGTGGTTGTGCCATAGCAATGATGTAGATGGGTACCACATTTGCCACAGCCTACTAGCTCCTGAAATCCTTGTTTATGTATCAGTACATCCTGGGCCCCATCCCAGCTCTAAGGAAAGGCCCTCAAGTGACAAGGTCCAGCTGTAATTCACAGATCATGCTGCTTGGAGAACTGCAAGGGGGGGGGTCTTTCTACACAGCATCACCACCAGCAGCGTTAGAAATGAATAATCTCAGGACCCACCTCAGGCTTAATACATTGGAGTTTGAATTGTTTGTATATGTATGGGTGTTGTGCCTGCATGTATGTATGTGCACTGGGTGCATGACTGGTGCCCTCACGGCCCAAAAGGGGCATCGGAGCCCCTAGAATTGGAGTTGCTAATAGTTATGAGCTATCATGCAGGTGCTGGGAATTGAACCCAGGTCCCCTGGAAGAACAGCCACCGCTCTTAACCATTAGGCCATCTCTCCAGCCCCAGTGAACTTGCCTTTTGACAAGTCCCCCACATTCTGTGTGCACACTGAATCTGATGTTCAAGGATACAAATAGCCCTTTACCTTCACCTGGATATCAGGAACAAAACTAAGTCAGCCAGTCTCAGTTGGTGGCATACACGATCAATGCATTCATGTTTACATTTTCCTGGTTGGACCTAATATCCACTCCATTCCCTTAACCCTATGGCTCATTCAAGCATATTTCATAAATGACTTTAAATATATGGGTGCCCTTGTGAGATAATCCTCAGATCATTAATCATTCAGCCTCATTTCTAAACCAGAGGGTAAGAAGGGCCTGGTAGTTTGACAAAAACCAAGTGTGGAAATGACTCCAGCACACTAGTGATACAGTCTTCCTCATCTGTGAAGTAAGTGTTACCCCCGCCTGCAAGACTGCAGGAGAGTTCCACTACATGTGCCTTCCTAAAGGCAGTGGGGATCCAGTGGGCGTCAGCTGCTATCAATACCAAAGTCATGGGCAAGTGAGAGTGGAGCTCCGGACACAAAGGAGAAACTCCGGGCCACACCAGTGCAGGAGACAAGTGTTTATCTGGTACCAGTAGTGTGCACAGCTTCTTATCCCAGACTGCTTGCTACAGCCTAAGGGGAAGATCGGGGGCATTAGTCAAGTTACTGGACACACCCCTGAGGGGTGGCAGACCTAAATCAGCCTGGC